TTATTCAACTTTTCAAAATCACTTGGATTTACTGTGCAATAATTTGTTTTTAAGATATGAATGATTAAAGATAAAAGTGTAATTTTTCATTCAACTGTCAATATCTCTGTAACTAATGGTCGTACGGAGAACTTTCAAAAAACAAATTGAAGCTGATTAAACAAGCTAACTGACCTCTACATTGATTGAATTCGAAAAAAAATCCGTGGACAGTCCAAACAAAAAAGAGATTGAACAATTTTTGTCGAAGTATTTGAATCCTCAATAATCACATAAAATGGTCTTGAAACTAGACTTAAAGCTTCAAAACTTTTTTCTCGACACGATTATTTTTCAAAAAAGCTATTGAAATATTTCTGTACCCTTAATTTTTTTCAGAACAAAACGGTATCGAAAAACTCTTAATAACAGTTGTTGAGAAAAATGATCATTTTCATACAGGGTGTATCAGGGTCTAGTAGGATTATCTGAAAAAGTAGTCAGAATTGGATTCTGATATATAATTTATATACAGGAGTTTATCAAAAAGATCTATTCAATGAAAATAGTGTCAACTTTCTCGTACTTCCGGTTATGCCGGAAGTCATCGTCAACTCGGTTATTTCAATTGGAACGCTGTATATATTTGCATGTTTTAATTCTGCGGCAAATTCTAGACTATTTTCATGTAAGGTACTATAGGCCAAAATGTGGCAGTTTTCAAGTTGTTATTAATTTTCGAAAAAAATTGAGGGATGTAAATGATTTTTGAAAATAGAATAACTCGGACATTTTGCTTTATTTATTAATGAAATTTGGCATGGATAATTTAAAAGCAATGGAATTCAACCAGTTTATGTCAAATTTGTAAAAATTCATACTGTTTAAAAACGTGTGGCCAATGTTGTGACGTTGAAGTTGAATTTACTCAAAAATTTCAAATGGCACACTCTGTATATTATTACATTGATGGATGCAGAATTAAATTTGCTTTAAAATGATCCTATGGTTCTCTATACCCAAATTTGACAGTTCTTGTATAAATTGGAATTTTTTTTTATTTCAACACAGAAAAATCTACGAGTATGGTGAATTTATTTAAAGCATCGCCTTTTTTGATATAATATACTGAATTATTCTTTTTGATGAAGGTATAACAATAATACAAATTACAGTTCATTAATCAGACACCGTTTATTATTCAATTCTTTAGTACACCAAATCCACCGTACATTTTTCTGACTACTTGAAATAATCCTACTGGAACCTCTTCGTGATACACCCTGTATATAGGGTCAATTGGGAAAAATAATTCCCATAACGTCACAATCCTTAGGGCGATAAACATACCAAGATGGAATTTTAATAGATACTTATGTCATAAAGATCCCCGCCTGCGGTTTTCTATTTGCTCTTTCCGTTTTCCTATGACGGGAGCCAACCATCAGTCTGGGTCACCCTGTACTTTCGAGTCGAACTGGCATGGAACCAGGTGCTTTTTTGGATTTGTGGTTATAGAGGGACATAAATTATTGGACTATTTAATGCTTTTTAACATATTGGGCGAATCGTACACTGATCCAATATTTTATTTTTGATCAAATTTTAGTTTGGCTGTATCGTGCCAGGCTGTAAATTTTAAAACGTAGTTTAATGTTTAACAGTAAAGCCCCATCCTTATAGGGTTGGACAAATATTGTTTTCAGCATACTTTTTTCCAGGAACAAAAAAAATATCGTGTCTTTAAAAAAATTACTTACGATTTTTTCAGTTTCAATTTAAGCGTTGCTCCTTTATATACTTTCGGGCGGGTACGCCACTGGAACCAGTTGATTCAATTTAAAAGAAGAGTTGATTTTATTGCGAGTCTCTTGAGGGGGACCTATTAGGAAAAAATTGTAGAACGGCTAGTCATTATTCTGTATTTTTTTACATATGAAAAATGTTTTAAGTTATACAAACCGGAAATCTAAATTTAAAACATGGCCTTGACACGTTGTATCTTAGGCTAGGCTCGATAATTCAATATGTTCACAGCCTTTTCATAATCGGTGTTGTTTTAAGTACTTTTTAAGAAGTTAAACGGCTGAATATTAATTTTCTTTGTTCTAAAATGATATATATTTGATTGTTCAAATGATGAATTTTAATTAAAATTATTATTTTATCTAACCACCACTTAAAGTAATAATTCATTTTATTAGTTATAGGAATTTCCTTAATTCAAAGAAATATGAGTTACGTAAAATAATGTAATATAAAATATGCTTAGTTATATAAAAATTTAAACTTTTTTCATCCGCGATATTATAATCTGAATGTTATAACGTCATAGAAGAATTATGTGTATTTTTAAATTTATTTTATTGGTTATAAAAACAGTATGTGAATATGTATATCAAATTTTAACATTGTCATAGTAAAATCTTTATATACAGAGACTTTCTATAAATACAAATGTAGATTCATTTTCTCTCGGTGTAAAGTAATAAACAATTCTCTAGCTTGATTTTTTTTTGGCGCTTTACAGATTTTGGTGTTGTACAATGTGTTGTGTGCTTATTTGCTTAAATTGCTTAGAGTTGCTCAAAAATAAAATTATTAAGCAAATTAATGATTATAAAATTATTACATTATTAGGGGAAGGTTTAGATATCACTTCATATAGAACATCAAAACTATCCAACCAAGTGATTTCAGTTACATTCTAGTATTAGTGTAATTAGATTTATCATTTTGCTATTCAAGGTTAACTATATCCTGACTAAAGAGTTCAATGTGTTCAGGTTGAATAAGAATAATTCTAGTGATTTTTACAAAATCTGACTAATTATACAGGGTGTCCTCCTTTATTGGTGTAAGTGCCATTGATGTAATAACTAAAAACCAACGGAAGTTCGAAAAATTTTTATTAAATGGACTTTAAAAACGCACGTATTAAAATTGTAAATGTGGAACTTGTTACGATTTTGTATGTCAAAAATTGTTTTTTTTTAAATTTATAATTGGTAAATAGTAAAATAAGAGTGTATATTTTTCGGGCAAAAGTGCTTTCTTTTACGTTCACAAAATAATTGATATTATCTACGTTAAAAAAAAACAGTGTTGTGTTGTACCATAAACAGGTCCTTATGATCTGTAAAGTTATTTATAAATATTTAGAAGATTCTAATTAATTAACTGTATAAGAGACAAGCTAATGCAGCTGAAACCGCCCAGCAATTAACATTAGAGTAATAAGAACGTAGATACCTTTTTCACCTCATAACTGAACCAAGCAGGCATTTTCAATTTTTTATAAACATTCCTTATCTGTTTAAAATTGCTGGTCAATAAACTGTATCCCTAAAAATTAAAGCATTTTTTACTTGTTGACTGGGATGGATAAAAAGAAGTAACTCATTTTTAGCTTCATTCAAGATTAAACCATGGTTAAGAGATACAATAGAAATGCTCGCAAATCTCGGCATATTGACATACAGCTTGATCAAATTCATCGTGTATTAATAATATTAATAATAATAATAATAATTTATTTTCCTCAGAGACATAATATGTATAGGAATAGTCAAATAAAACTTACAAACTAAGACAAAGTAGTAGTAGTTATACAGTATAGAAGGCATCTACCCCACTGTTAGGGTCTCTTGTCTTTACCATTAATGCTGCGGACTGTCTTCTTGATCTGCGCACACGCGGTTATGAATTTAGTCAAGTTGACGGTTCAGCGTTGTAAAACAGATAAATCAGCTATACAGGGTGTTCTGAAAGTCTGTCAGGAAACTCCGGTGATTCTACGGATTAAAATAGTAACAGTATGTAATGAACATTTTTTTCGAATTGTCAATTGTTTGCAAGTTACACCTTGTCAAAGTTATTTTTTTTTAAATTTTCTATTTAAAAAACTTATTTAAATCAAGTTCGATTAGTCTCTCACATTTGGCACACCCGCTAAGTAGATCTATTGGACCAGTCGAAGAAAAGTTTCATTGCTAGAGGGCACTTTACCTAGAACTCAAAATTTTTCGCAACATTTGTCTCGTTTACTTAGTAGTCCAGTAATATTTTTCGCATAATTAAAAATATTTTTAAATTTTTCTTCGTTAAGAGCAATAGTTTACGTCATTACGTCTTGAAAAAGGCGTTTCAAGTAGAGATAAAACAGTTCGTGAGAGAGATTTATTATTACCTATGTATATTGATAATATCATAGTTGTTTTTTATTTACTTTAAATTAATATCTGTCTTGTCCTTATCCTTAAAGTCTTTATAATATCACTGACACCTGACACCTGACATCCGAGTAATACGCGACGCGTACTTTAACCACGAACTGAAACTATAAGCAGCTTTGAGCGGGCCTCAGTTCCCTCGTAAATCACGTTATTTTAACCGCCTCAAACAATTATTTTATACTGTTATTTTGATTTTTGGTAAATTAATGTAATAGATAATTGGAAATTAGTTTACCTGGTTATTTAGGTTAATAGGAGAATAGTAAATATTAAAATATATGGTGTGAGAGCCAAATTTTACAGTCAGGTCCGGCCTCGGTTGCTTCATACGACGAGCCTCCACTGCTTACTTGACGAAAATGTGACGTTTCTGTTGGGTTAGAATTTTTAAGAACAGTAAGCAAACATGAGCAATTTTCTTTAACTTATGGCAGAAACTTGTGAAACGGCTAATAGTCTAACAATTTGGCACCTAAAAAAATTGTAGCATGCTTAGGATTTGCCATTTTGGAGAAACTGTAGTTGTCAGTCCCACTTAATAAAGAATATTTGAACTTGAATTGTTTTTTTCTTACTGTGTTAACAATACATCTATGAATCAGAATAGCCTGTAATTTTTGGTCTTCAAAGCATAATAATTTTTTTAAGCCATAGAGCTGATTTTCCTAATCACTCTCTGACTTTTAAGATTTCAATTTGCTGAGCTCTGTGTTTTTCTTGTGTTAAAGTGTACTCTTCTACTTGCTTAAACGTTTGAAATGTAACGATCGTTATTTTGTGTTTCAGTTCGCTAGCTAGAACTCCATATACTCCACCCAACCAACAGCAGCAGCCTAGGAAAAGCAAGAACGTGAAAACAGTGTCGGGTTCACCCTCGCACGTAGACATCTAAAAGAACCACGAGTATTAACTGATTCAAATTTAAAAGTTTTTTAGTTCTAGCACAATTGTCTCTAGTACGTACGGTTCGTACGGAACTCGTTCGAAATATATTATTTTTCTATAATTCTGTCCATTTTTCAGTTGCGGTTGGAGTAGCAACTTGCTGTGTTAGATTCGGGGAGGCGGTCCTAAAATTTAAACTTTTTATGTGAAATCATGTGTGAGAGATAAATCGGAGACTTTGTAGAATTATTATCATTATTTTTATATTATCCTAATCTTTATTGTAGCCTTTATTTTTTTTAATGCGTGTAGCAAATTGCTGCTCTGACAGGAAGTTTGACCTGGCGATTTTATCCAATCGTTTGCCGTAATGGCAGACGTACGTAATTTTAAGTGGTTAAGTGAGATTTTTCGTATTAGTTCGATACTATCCTAGAGTTTAGGTTTCTTTTGTATGTCGTGAGCACAGTAAATGGGGTTATCGTTGCTATTGTATGATGTAATTTTTGTGTGGTGATGTTCAATTAAGAGATAAACTCTACGGATTATCTACACTTAGTTTAGTGTTAAAGTGTAATATATATAAGTACAATGTATTGCTTTAGGTTTAATTGAAATAAAGTGAAGTTATATATTCCGACAAGGTGTTTCCCTAAGACCCGGATTAATCGAATTTTCCATATGGAAACAGAAATATTGAAATAATGAAGCAAATTAAATATTGATACTGAAAATTCATGGTATTTAATACAAAAGTACATTAAATTTACTGAAATTCGAGTTGCTGTAGATTCTACAATTCTGCTTTGAATTTCACATAGTTGGCCAGTGTGTATACCTGGTTGCATAATATTGAAAGTCCATGAATAAGAAAGTTATACAGCCCAGCAAATACTATGAACTACAAATCTAAAATTTGCATACACATTCATATTGTAATTTGCCAATATTACTATAGTCCAGACGGTATCTGTTTCAAAAAGTCCATATTTGGGTGAATAGTCCACGGGTCGACATACAAAGAAAAAAATTATTACCAGCAAGCTGTAACTTTGCGTGCAGCTTAAGTTTGACGAGTCTCCCAAGATTTGACTACGAGGAAAATTCAACAGTGGTAAGTTTTCTCGTAATTTTCAGGAAAACATGTCAGTCTGGCATAAATATGGAATATTATGACCAACACTTTTTTTTTTAAATTTTAAATGCAAGATATATATTTTTTAATCCCCCCAAAAAATTTGTCCAACAAAAATTTTGGCATTTTGAGTTTGTCCCCCATCCCAAATATGTCGATTTGGTGACATTATGGTTGGTGACAACCAACAAGCTGATTTTTCTGGGAGGGTTTGGTAATAAGATTTGAAAAGAAAGTATCTTATTGTCCGACAAAATTCTTGAGAAGTTTTTGCAGTCCGACGCCCCGAAGATGTCGATTTAACGACAACATGGTTGGTGATAACCAGCAATTTGGTTTTGATTTTTTTCTCTAATAATTGAAATGTATAACATAATAATATACTTGTCTGCCAAAAAGATTGGAAAATTTGCCTAAAAAATGGGAAAAATAACTATTTTTGTGGTACCTAATGTTCCTATAAATAATTAATTTTTTAATGAAAAAATAAAGAAGAATAAATAAGAAATATCTTGTTTACAGGAGCAACAGAAATTCATAAATAATTATGTCTATAAAAATTAATTTAATTTTTCTACATCAAAATGATTTTTTTGTTCAAAAAACTTTTATGTACGTTTTATTTTATAAACTGTTGTAACTATTTTATAAAAAAATGGTAAATGTAAAATGAATGCATAAATTTTCGCTTGAGTTTTTTAAATTAAAATTTGCAGTCTTGTTTTGACAAACAGTTTACACATAGTTTTGTTCTTGAAAAACCATTTAAACCAATTTTAAAAATATTTTGAATCCACCGCGCGCTCTCTATTTCTTTTCTCAAGGAATCCAAAAAATGATAATGGTACGTTACCGCAGGTAAGTGCACACACACATAGACGCATGCATTAACACATAAGTTGAAAGCGAGTGTTCTCCGAAAAAGAATTTTGACCTCATTTTCGTAAATTTCGTAAATCATGGAGTGTTTTGTTTGTGTAATTGTGGAAATGATAAATCAAGAGGAAAAAGTGAAAAAGTAAACAAAAAATAATTAATAATTTTATGACAAATTTATTAACAATTTTTAATATTTACTATTCGGTTTTAACAATATTATTCTGCATTATCCACTTAATAACGTACGATTGAAATGCAGCAATTTTAGTTGTGTTAATTAATTTTCTAAATGTTCAGATATTGCATATATCAATTTTTTTGTAATTGTATAAAAAAATTAATTTAAATTAGTAATATTTATTTTGAAATTGAGAAATTAAAAAAAAATTTTTTTATTATATATTTTTTTTATTAAATATAAATTTTTCTTCTCCATCATGTGTAAGTATTGAAACCGCAACATTTTATCGTTTAATTTTGTCGGACAAGCACAAAAAAGCGATAATTTTGTCGGACAATTAAATTCTCAGATTAATATTGCATTTTTTTTTAAATAATGACGCTTTTGTCTGACAGCTGATTATCACCAACCATGTTGTCGTTAAATCGACATCTTCGGGGCGTCGGACTGTAAAAATTTCTCAAGAATTTTGTCGGACAATAAGATACTTTCATTTCAAATCTTATTACCAAATCCTCCCAGAAAAATCAGCTTGTTGGTTCTCACCAACCATAATGTCACCAAATCGACATATTTGGGAACTCAAAATGCCAACATTTTTGTCGGACGTCGGATCGATTGGTCAATTAGTTACGTAGTTATAGTTGATCAAAGTTAACCGTCATTTACACTAAATATACTGGGACATCCGAGCTAATTTTTCGAAAAATACCTTTGGTATTCCGAGTACTTACCAGGTCTAAGTTTGCAATACTTTTCTTCATTGGCAACCTACTTTAAAACGTGTTTAAAGTTATTTATGCAAGCGAGAAATTCAAGAAAATCGTACGGGTGGTGAGGTGGGGGAAGCAGATAGCGCGGCCGCTTCGGCCTGCTCGAAATCGAATCGGCGAGTTCAAAACCGCGACGCGCTTAAGAATTTTTAATATCTCAGCTTCTAGAGGTCCGATTTTGATTCTTTTTTTAATCGATGTCTCGAGATTAAAAAAAAACAAGTGTCTTTTCAAATGCCTATCGTTAATAATTAATGGTCTTTCAATAGTCCGATAATTATTTATCTTTAAACTTCCTTTAATTATCAACTTTATTTTTTTATTGAATCAAAGGTAAGTGCAGAAACTTATATACTGTTTATTAAAGATCAAAAACAAATTTATTTAAATATTGTAACATTGTTTAAACAACAATTTTCAACATATGTCGGAACTTAGTAATATAATGAGTTAATTTCTCATTTGCTTATATTTTAAACAATAAATAATATTTTATTTAGTACCATTGATATAATTTTAATTTATTAATTACTATACAAGTCAATATTGTTCTATAAATTTAAATATATACATTCTGTAATTCTTTTAGTTTGTCACTTGGGGTTTGAAACTTCTTAAATATTTCTAATATTGCCAGAATATTGCGATATTTAAGGTCATGACAAAAAAGACATTTTGTTTTGGCATTTATGTCCAAAGTAGGTACAGAAGGTCGAAAATCGGTCTAATAAAAATTGAGAAATTCTTCATGACAATGTACATAGTTCACATGAGTTGCCTATTATTTGGCACTACTGAATTGGTCTATTACAGAATTCCATTTAATGAAAATTACTAGTTTTACTATGACTCTACCTCTGCCTTAGAGGAGTTATCCACTCTGCGCTTCTGTTTAAATAGCTACTGTACCTTTGCATGTTACAAAACCTTGAAGAATTAGAGGACTATAATAATTAAATGATTAATTAATAAAGTTTTTGGTAATTGATCACGTATTTCGTAAATAAAAACTGGTTCCCAATAATTACATAATTCTTCACTATTATCATTATTATATGGTAATTGTTATGTAGCATTTTCAGATTTTTTCCTGAATTCTGACATTGAATAAAAATTTGCTAGTACGGTTATTTTATTATTATTCATTCGATGATTCCTATTTTCTTAAATTTTAAAATGCCTTGAAGAAATCGATACAATTATATATTGGCGTCTGCAAGGTCTAACCCAGATTTTTTCAATATTTTAGTCATTTGGAAATCGGAAAACATGATCACAAATTTGGTTTGATGTCTGTTGTACAATCAAAAAACGGAAAAATGCATTTCGAAAAGAGATTATTAATAGATGATGTATATCTGACATTAAAATGAAACTATAGATAACAATATTAACGACACTATTAGTGTCCACAGGGACAACATGGTTGCAGGTGCGCAATGTCATATTTCTTCGATTTTGTATCATGGTACCCCTGACTATAACCTCTGTCTATTATTATTTCAAGAAATTCCACGAAAAACGATTTAATCAGCCCTATGCTGTAAAAACATTGAAATTAATTTCAACCTTGAAGTGATTTCAATGAAAATTGATTTGTTCTTCAATTTTGGAGAAAATTGGTATGCACTAAGAACACTTGATTAGAAAACCTTGACATTAAAATTGATTGAAATTTATTTCAAGTGTACTTGTGGCAACGTCGCTATTTGCTATAGGGAGATACTGGTGACTATGGAAACAATCTTTATGAACAGAAACGGTGACATCAGTCAAAAATTTTATTATAAGATTCTTAATCATCAATTTTGTTATTCTGAATTTATTAATTGTATATAAACGGTAAGTATCACAACATAAAATGGTGAAGCAGTTAACAATCTTTCTGTTGAAATAAATAAAGAAAATCATAGCCAACAAAGAAGTACTGCCGATTGGAAGCGGGCATAACATATTTCCATATTGGTGTGTCACTTAAAATTAAATGTTGCTTATCAGATATAATTTACATTTATATTTCATTATCTACACATGAATTAATATATAATAAATGCTAGCTAATGCTAGTAATATTTAAAATTAATCAAGTACATTTTAAGATCTTTAACGAATGGGAATCCAACGTAAAATCTAAAGCTAGGAGAATTCACTTTGAACAAGAATTAACTGGAGGTGGTATTGCTCTAATTGAAATTTTAACAAATCTAGAAAAAAAATTTTTGGAGGTTTTGTCAAAAATATTAATATATGGGCACCCCCAAGTTGTAGAATTAGCTTACAAAAGAAAAAAA